CCCCAAAACCCCAAAACCCCAAAACCCCTATTCAAAAGGTAATAATAAATATCTAAAGTGGCAAAATGGTGCTCAACTCTATATTTTTGTATTCATATGATGGCCATACACTAGCCATGAGGGACTACAACCCAGAAGAATCAACAGTGGAGGTGTCTAAGTATTTTGTAGAGCACTATCTCCAGAAAGCACTAGCTAAGAATGCTAAATTAAGAAGTTCTATTGGGGCAAAGGCTAATCTTACTGAGAGAAACACGGAGCTCACCTCCGATAAGCTTCTTGATGGATTCCCTGTAGTAGCCATTAGTGATACAGAGTACTATGCAGTTTATATAATCAGAGAAGAGGTAGTCTACACTGCCTTTACAAAGAAGGAGACTCATATTCTTACAGTAGTTGAGTATCTCAAAGTAGTTCTTGAAACTTTAGAGGAGAGCATCACTGGAGATCTGGTTGATGAGATTCCGAAGAGACCTGAGATTCATTACATCCTCGATCTTTTAGTAGATTACTCGATTCCTTTACTGCCTAACAAGAATATTCTGAAGGCATTTTTGCGTAAAGAAGGGATTATTGCTAAATCTACTTCTTATATCTCTAAAAGAACTGAAAAATCTTATCAGAGAATCTTGGATAAGGCCATTGATGAGTGAAGGACCAATGACGATGCCTTGTGGCACCCTCACCTAAAAGGTTTAGTCTCCTTAGCTGAAGAATGCCTTATTGATCATGATGAAATAGTGACTGGGATTATTGACAAAACGTAAGAATCTTTCCAAATTTTATTTAACATTTGGTGTTTAGCGAATCTGGGTCAACAGTAGAAATCAGCGAAGTCATGGGAAGTGTTGAGGTAGAGAATAAGTCAGCAAATGTTCACAATATTGGATTCGCTCTCAGAAGACTACAGAAATTGGAATCATTCTCCCTCCATGCTTGAGCAAAGAAGTGTAGAAAAAGGTTTGAAAAGGATGGTGTTCTGAATTTCACTCCTGGCATTAGCAGATTTACAGTAGCCAAATATATTTGCAATCCTTTTAAATTTGCTTTACCATTTGAGATTAAACCAACCTTGCAGATCTGCCTCACTTCAAAAACTCTGAAGGTAAAAATTAAGGTAAAGGCTACAGAAGTAGCTGGGGAATTTCTAAATGTAAGAAGTTTCTGCATTAAAATCCACTTCCCAAAGTATATAACTGGAAGCTCTCTTTGACCAACTGACGAGAAAACAGAGTTTATTCTGAATGAAGAGAAGAACATTGGATTATGGGAGATTGGCTTCTTGAAGCCTGAAAAAGAGTTTGAATTGAATGGATCCTTCATCTTACCGAGAAGCTTTACTGAAGAGGAAGAAATAGATATGATTCTTAGTACAAACTTTGTGATAAACAGATATCTGATCAGCGGTTCCTACATAGACTCTATAAAATTGCGTGATAATGCTCACCCTATCGATGTTGTCACTGGAACTAAAGCTACTACAACATTTAAGAATCTTGAGATGAGAGTATCTGCGTTCTATGACAATTAATCAGCTTCGTAATCTCAAAATAAAACTTTAAGGGGTTTTGGGGTTTTGGGGTTTTGGGGTTTTGGGG